TTGAAACATACGAGACGATTGTGGAAACCAGGAAGGAGAAGCTGAGAGAAATGTAGATTTTGGAAATGAGTCCAGTAAAGTTGTTCTTCCCATTTCATGCAATCCTCACAATTCTCTTCCATCTTCTCACCTGCCACAGAGAAATGTTGGGACCAAAGTGGAATGTGTGAAAAGTTTTGGGAAAAATTAAGAAAATAATAATCCAAAGTTATGAAATTTCTCATTTATTTCTGACACGAGGCGTGTCAGTAACAAAACAAGTGTTTAATGGATCATCAAACCCCAATACAGTAACTTGTTTTGCAAAGTTTATTTTTTTTTGTTTTAATTCAGAGGAACATATAACACTAAATCATAGACAAAAAGAGAGACTTGTAAAGAGTTGGTGAGAACTGTACAGACTACAGAGAGACCTTATTACAAAAAGCATCAAATATAAATCAACAAGAAGAGAAGCTTAACACTAATCCCCTACACTAGTTTACAGTTTCTCAATGAGTTTACACTTGTATACAATTTAAGGGGTTTAAAGATCTCTCTACTCATCGAGCCAATCTAAGCTGAAACATTTCTCAGCAGCTTCAATCTTTAATCCTGGAACGGCCTTCTCAACTTCTTCCCACATATATGCAACATCTTTATCGCAAAGTACATGGCGTAGAGACTCCAATGAAACAGCAGAGCTCGGTCTACTCGAGAAATAACATTCTCTCATGTCGATTTTCTCAAGCATCTTTAGCTTACCTATTTCCTCTGGAAGACTATTCAGGTTGACACATTGTGAGATGTCGATGTACTTAAGCCGAGGAAGCTCACAGATTTCTAAAGGCAATGCCTTTAGCTCGGGGCAAGCATAAAGCCTTAGAAGTTCAAGAGCTTGTAGTTTACTGAGTTTCTTAGGCAATGCACCGAGGCGTGGACAATTTGTTATGCTCAAGGAATTGAGAGAGGTCATCCCACAAATGCTTGAAGGTAGTGTCACGAGATCATCACAGTGGTCTATCGTCAGATCGCCCAAGTTTGGGAAGATATTGGAGAGGTCGACTCCGGTCTGATCAAAACTGTTGTTGATCTTGCACAGAATCAGAGAAATCTTGTGGAGGTTTTTCAAGGGAACTGTTGTCTTGGAGAGTTCAGGGACGTGAACTCTCTCGAGCCATAGACTCCTTAGTTTCGACAAATTGGCAAATATTGAAAAGTCCTGGAGAACCGCATGGGACATGCCGTTGTTGATAATCACTAGGACCCTAAGCCGGCTCATCTTGGTGATAAAAGGGGGTAAAACGTACTTGTCCGAAGAGAAATTCAGTATCAGAATCTCCGCCTTAGGGAACTCCAAGTCGAAGTCAGACCAATCCATCTCATCCATTTCCTCTGCAACAAAAACAGAATTCCGACCAACATTAGGATCCTGGTGATTATCGCACGAGAGAACCGAGTGATATAAAGATTGCAGTTAAGAAAATTCTTACCAGTATGAATAGAGACTATCTGGGCATTGTATGGCTCATCACTGTTCCTTCCCCATTCTCTTGGAAGCACTAACTCTCTTTTTGGCATCACCAATCGGGCCCTTCTGTTTACTTTCCCTTGATTGCATAGATGTAGGGCTAAGTCACGAAGAACATCATGCTGTGTCACAAATACATCGTAGTAGCTTGCATACGAAGAGCCAAGTCTGCAAATTAATATATACAGTTATAATAATTTTATAAAACTTCTAAACCTTATAAAAATTGAAGAGCTACAAGTGATGCGATCCCTTACCGTGGATCTTTCCCAAGAGTAAGGAGATTCCTGTGTGACAAATCAACAAGAGTGGCAAAAGCATTTGCCTCCTCTAGATCATGTATCTCAATCCACACGTTGATGAGAACATCAACAGGAATCTTCTTGTCTTCAGGGAATGCGCCAAGATCCAAGAAACACTCTCTAGTTGTTGGGTCGAGATTTTCTAGACTAGCTTGCATTTGATGAAGCAATCTAGTCTCGTGAGTTTCATCAGCAGGTTCACCTTTCGATAACCTCTGCAAAGCTCCCTCCCAATACTTTTCAGGTCGGTCTTTCAATGAAGCCCCCGTAACTTTGAGAGCCAAAGGTAGACCTTTACACTCATCAGCAACCTGTACCAAAACAGAGAAATATGAGAATCGAAGATCATTGGATATACTACGCATGAATCAGCTGGAGAACAAAACCATTAATATTACCTGCTTAACAAGATTTTTGCTGAAACCAGCAGGGACAGATTTCTGACCAAATGCACAAAGACAGAAGAGAGCGAGTGCTTCATCTTCCCTTAGTACTTCCACATCATAAGTGGATTTAGGCTCGGTGAGTTTGGACCGCGAGACCACAAGAGTTGTACAACCAGGAATGTTATACGTCAAGCGGTCCAACGCTTCTCTTGTCCAAACATCATCAAGAATCACCAGCTTCTGTGTTTTAACCCCACCATCATACTTCAAATTCCAGTTTGGAGCAGGATTCACAGCTTCACAACCAGATAGAAAATTCCATACATGTGCTCTTAGCTCCTCGAGAATCGGAGATTGCGATACAGTCAGAAACAAAATCCGGTTCTCAAAGTAACCTGACCAACAAAGAACGCAGCAAATTCACCATCTCACAACTCTAAACTACTCTTAGCTTAATCATCAAAACATGTTCATCACAGGACAAGTGAGACAGTACAATCGAACCA